TATTTTGTAATTTAATACAACATAAATTGAATAATACTATTTTGTTGCATAATTATACAAGAAAAAAATGTTTTTAAGGTTAAACTACAGGATTGCACCAAATTGTATAAGTTAATTGTTAAGTGCATTTAATATCTTGATAATTATTAAGATATGAGCCATCACAATGCCATGTTATTCTCCATTCCCTACCCCAAATTATACATATTAAAAATAAATGCTAAACTATACAATCTAACTTTGAATTTATGAATTTACTAAGTTACTTCTATGAGGCTATTTTAAATATTATTTTATTAATTTTAATTATTAAAAATTTAAAAATTACTTAAATAAAATATTTGGGTAGAAAGTGGCGAAGAAATCCCAAAAAAAATCAGAAATTATTAAAAAATGTATAAAAAAGATTTTCGTATTTGCAGATTTTTGAATTTTTTATATATACAGATTTTTTTAATTATGCTCATTATAGTCATATTGATTTTATAACTTAGATTTAACAACCAAATCCTAAACTATTTAAAATTGATTTGGTTTGATTTTTAATTAAAAAACTTAAAACCTAATCAAATCATGTCTTTGGTTATAATTTTAGTCAATTTCAAAATTTTTTTAAAGATTTATCTAATTTGTGTAAGGATGTATTAATTATGTCTTGTTATATTTAATTTTTATAAAAATTTGTAAAAATTAACTTTATTTTTATGATCAATGTCATATACATATTTTAGTTAGGTAATTACTGAAATTAATATTATTTTTAATATTTTAATACAAATTAAATACAAAAAACATAATAAATGTAGATTTTTTTTAATTACAAATTTGTTCATGCACCCGTAATTTTAATCATTTAATAATTTCCACTTTTAATGCCATTGCCATATCATTTGTCCTTAACTTAGTTCGTCCCAATATTTTCGTCTAATCTATAATCACTAAAAATAAAAATGAAGAAATAAAAATAATACGTTAAATTATTCGATTTTTATAACTTATTCTCAATATAAATTAAGATTGTGTTAATTGAATTTTTTATTATAAAAAATAAAAATTAATTTTAATTTTTAAAACTATTTAATTAAAATTATACATATGCCTTTAATGTTAAAATAAAGTTAAACTTCGTTTGATATAATTGTGCTTTTAGGTTTTTAATTTTAATTTTTATAATTTGAAACTTTAAAAAAAGTGTATATTTTTATGTAATTTTACAATATATTACATTATAATTACTAGAGATAGTAAAAGGAATAGTTTAAATAATACTTAAACAAGCTGATATTTTTTCTTATTGTTGTTAAACAAATTGTTAATTTTTAATTTGTGGTTTTAATAGTTATAAAATTTATAAAAGTTAAAAAGATTAGTATTTATCATATGAGTTTATTAAAAAAAAATAGGTTGAAAATACTCAAAATTATATTATTTTAATAAAATATTACACAAAATATTAAAATAACTTTATTTTTACTTTAAAAATTAAAATATTTTAATTTTTTTAATAAAATTTTATCTGTACAATGTAATGTTAAAATATTTTTTACTTAATTTTTTTTAAATAAGACTGAAATATTTTTTCAAAATTAAAAATTAAAAATCAAAAACTACAACTCAGCCTATACACTGCACCCTAAAAAATCCAATTTGTTTATGCGCTAATTTTTTTCCCCTGTTCTTCTTGTTGTTGCATTCACCAGAATGCCCAAGTTTTATTCGGCTGTGTGAGTATTTTAGTCGCCTTCTTACAACTAAGATTCCAATCAGCGAATCACTCCCCTTTCGAGACGCACAGGCTCCACTTCATTTCATTTTTCATTGTCATCCTCATCTTTGCCGTATTACTGCGAATCGGAATCAAACTCGAAGCTACCGGTTCAGGCTGC